ACCCACTGACTTTGGCCATCTTGGAAAGGTCCTAATACCCAGTACCTTCACAAGTGATCTTACTTGAAAGTGTGTCTTTGCAAACATACTGATAGGAAAGTGAACTTACAATGATTAGAGGGGGCTCCTCGCAGCAATGACTAACCTCCAAATCCCCACTGCCTGTGAATGTGGTCTTTAGCATCTTTTTGAGGAATGCCTCTGAATTCAAAACCCCCTGGTCTTAGAGTTTCTGTTGCTGTGATGAAACGCCACGAGACCCATGACTAAAGCAAATGTGGGAGGGAAGGGTCTGTTTTGTTTACACTTCCACACTGCATTCATTTCTGAAAGAAGACAGGGCAAGAACTCAGACAGGACAGGAACCTGGGGACAGGAACTGATACAGAGGCCATGGAGGGGTGCTGGCTGTTGACTTGTGCCTCAGTTCATATGGAACCCAGGACCACTTGCTCAGGATTGGCACCCCCAGAATGGGCTGGGCCTTCCTACATCAATCACTAATTAAGAAAATGTCCTACAGACTTACTTACAGCCTGAACTTTTTGGAGCCCATTCCCTATGCTGGGACACCACGCTCTGCCTTGATGCAGCAGGGAAGGGGCTTGGTCCTGCCTCTACTTAATGAACCAGGATTTATTGGCTCCCCATGGGAGCCCTTACCCTTTGGGAGGAGTGGATGGGGGAGTGGTCTGGGGGAGGAGGTGGGGGTGGGGTGGTACAGGAGTAGGGGTGGGAGGGACAATGTGGTTGGAATGTAAAAGGAATAAAGAATAATAATAGAATGCACACTCGTTCAGGCAGGACCTTGTCCAGTGCTGACTCCCCAGAGCTAGTGGTCCACAAATGGATGGGGGAAATAAGTGACTGTGTGGGAACAACCTCACACTTTCTATCCGTGAACTTTTGATTTGCTTATCACTAAACCTCTATCGAGAGCGTTTAACTTCGATTAAACTTTCTGACAATTTCTACCCCTCTTAGGTGCAGAACAACACTGATGTCCTTTCTTACCTGGCTGTTGTAAAAGGAAGAGTTAGTTTTAAGTCATTTGTGAGAAGACCATAGATACTTCACATGTAAGAGTTGAGTTTTTAGGAACCGATAGGTGTGGTAGGTACAGCTCAGGAGGTAACAGCGTTTGCTGCACATGTGGTGACCTGAATTCAATCCTCAGAACTTTTGTGAAGGGGGAAGGAAAAACCTACTCCACAAAGTGGTCCTCTACCCACTACAGGAGTGCCACGCCACACACATGCATGTACACACCACCCACCCACACTAGCAATAAATATTTTAGGTTATTTTTTAGATCCATAGGCATACATACAATTCACAGAGGATCCTATAGCTGTTATATACTATTTATGCTATCTATACTATATATAGTATTTCCTATAGCCTAGGAGATATAATCAAAACGAGTCTCTTGATACTTTTCCATGCTTGTACCACTTACACAAGCAGGCAATCAATGTTTAATTGCAATGACTCAGTCATCAATAAGAACCACCAATAAATGTCTGCAAAATTATTTAAACTCACTGGCATGTGAGAATCCACCCATTTCCAACCAAGATAAACTGAGAACAACAGATAATAGGAGGGAGTTTCCCTCCTGATTCATTGACACTTTGTAAAGATGAGCAGACGTAAGTTTCAAAACTCTCGGGCTTACGCAAACTGCTTTGCTGCTCCTGAATGAGAAGTGTAGAAAGTGAGCGGTGGAAGGACGGCACTCTAGGCTGGCCTTGGGAAAATGTCAGCCACTGACACATTTTGGACAAACAGGTGATAAAATAGAAGCCAATTGGCTTTCCTGCTCTCTCCCCTGACAGATGTGAGAGGCAGGAGCTCAGCAGTGTGGAGCCAGATTGCTGAAAGCTCTTCCCAGATTTGTTTCTGGGTGTGAGTACCGGGACTTGTAACTACATTTGTTCAGACGAGGTAAATCACCTCTTATGCAACACCATGACGGAGGAGCACTCCCTGCGCTGCTGTTTCAAAGGTCCAATCCCAAATCAATGCAGCCTTCTCCAGGAATCAGCCTCTCAGAAAATCCTGGTTTCCATGGAAGAGCTTAGCTCTGGGAATTGGGACGATCCAGCAAGTCTTCAGATGGAAGTCTGGTAGTGGAGCATTTCCGGTGGCATGACAAAGCAATGGTGGGCGTTTGGCTGGGCTGTGTTGTTCCCTAAAGTGTGTGGGTGGAATAGCTCCTGCAGTCAGAGGGCAGGGACCTGGGCTGATTCATTCCGCAACCCCCTCCTTCTGGCACAGCCAGCACCTTGTTCAATCCTTCATCACCTTGATCTCCTCTCCTTTCATCCTTGCTCTTTGTTCCTTTGAATCTGGGTCCTGTTCTCTTGCCTCATCAACACCCTCAATTACTTACCTCTTTGCCCTTGTTCCTGAGCAGTTATCTAGCTGGGTTCTCATTTATATTGATCATTTGGTCTGTATGGGTGCGGGGGGGGGCGGGGGGAGTAATTCATCTGTGCCAAACTGGTATCTCCACAAACTACTGAATAACAATCTTGCAGATTTATTTCATTTGTTACATTTGAAGGACAAAAATTATAGCCACCATTCTGATTGTTTTGTTTTAATACAGGTCTCATGATTAATAGTCCTGGCTGGCCTGATATTCTCCATGTGGACTAGGCTGTTCTCGAACTCATTGAGATTGGTCTCCTTCTCTCTCTCTCTCTCTCTGCCTACCAAGTGCTGGGACTAAAGGTATACACCACATTAAAGGCATGACGACCATTCTTCTTCCTATTAACCAGACAAGAAAACTGAGACTTGCATTTCCGAGCATTGTGTTGTAGGGTGCGGGGTTCTTAGAAAAGGCTGTGCTTTATTGTTCGTTAGGATAGTTGCTGCTAATTAATCTTACAATTAATCTTCTTTGACATTCCCCAACAAATCTTGATTAAATTTTCACTTTGGCTTATTCTCTCAAGATATTTTAGAGCCCTTAAAAGAGTGGCATTAGGATGGAGAGATAGTTCAGCCATTAAAAAGCTCGGCTCACAACCAAAAACCTAAGAGTGACGTTAGAAACCCAAAGCAGTTGGGCACAGAGGTGAGTGCCTATAATTTCAATCACCTGGGAGGCAGAAGCAGGAAACTCTGAGTTTGAGGTTAACCTAGATTATGAAGTATGAATCTGTCTTAAAACAAACAAAAACACCAAGCGTGTTTGCTTTTTCGAAAGCTCTGGAAAAGGAAACTAAGGTGAAGCATTGAGTTATTGCTGAACTCTAGGAATGAGATGACCATTTTCTCTACACTGTCTATTATTGTTGCCTTTGCTAATGTGTATAATCCTTTTCATTTCCCTGAGTTGGGGTGATCTTTAACAATGCCAGGGGCTCTCGCTAACTCTATCCAGGTGTCTTCTCCCTGCCTTCTTGATGGAGATTGTGTTCAGAGATTTTTACAGTCATGCTTCTAAGATGGGGATACAGAAATCACGTTCTTCTTGGAGAAAAGCATTCCTTCTCTTGTGTGTTAGCGCTGCCTTTCCCAGGCCTTCCAAACCACTACTGGGTTTGTCAGCTCCCCGAGGTTCACTCCTGTTAAGGAATGTCCAGTGGAGATACTGCACACAAAAAGGAGGTGACAAAGAGTCAGAAGTGGGCGAGTGGTGTGGCCCCCATTCTGCCTGCTGCTAACTTGCTGTGAATGACCTCTTGTTAGTTCGCTGAAGTGACTTCATCGGCACCAGAAAGGAATGGGCTGCTCTTGCTACTTAAAGTGTAGTCTGTGAACCTTTCACATCCTTGTTATCTGGAAACTAGTTAGAATCAGAGACCCTGACCCAGCGCTTATCAATCAGTCAACTGTTAAGGAGATTTCTGTGTTCATTAAAGTTGAAAAAGTACTAGGCTTCTTGATTCTTATGAATTTTCTTAATTATTTTAACTGACAAATACAGTCATATTTTAACGTTAGACATAGCTCAGTCAAGCAAGTTAACACAATGAGTTATCTTGATGCTATACATGTTAACCCCAAGTCCCCTCGATAATGCATGGAAAAGTAACAAGAATTGGTTTGATGTGTGACACTGCATACCTTTGATCTATAGCCTGTGCAAACACCTGTCAGAGCAGCACATTGTAGTGATCTCCCTAGCAATGAGGGAGTCCTGTGCGCACCTAGCGATTAATTGATGGGCTGGGGGGGGGGGGGGGAGGTAGTTGGAGACAGGGTTTCTTCTCAGCCTCCCAAGTGCTGGGATTAAAGGTGTGTGTCACCATGCCTGGCTTCAACCGACTTTTTATATTCCCATTATAAGGAAAGCTGACGACTGGTGGAGGCCACTAAATATCTATTAGTAGAGCCAGCTCACTATTAATTTTAATGATAGGAAAATACTGATACAACTCTCACTGAAACGGGTAAATATATTTGCTCTTCAGAAAACAGAAGGATGCTGTCGGCTTTCGTTCTCGTCTTTCAAGTTCTGGAAATGCTTTTCCACTGCTCATTTCAAAATCTCACCGAGGCAGGAACTTTTCTCCCTGCTTCACAGCTATAGAATGCTAGGAAAACAAAAACTAATTTAATTGCTGGGCGAAAAAGCAGCAACAGGAGCCTCCTGCCACCTAGAGTCACAGAGGCACCCTACACCCGAGTCCCTTCCTCCTCCAGACGACAGCAGCAGCAGGGAAGGTGGAGTTAGTCCTGTGAACCGGAGCGGGTATAGTTTCCAGTTGTCCCAATTTCCCACCGAACTTTAAACACTGACGTACAAGTCTGGAATGTACCATTCTCTTAAGTAGGTCGGCCCATCCAAAATTGAATAAGAAAGTCCCCAGAGCAATTTCAACATTTCTTCTCTATAATATTTCCAAACTCGATATCTACCAAAATCATTCTGAAACAAGTCTAAAAGTCTTTCCACTCCCCCAGCTCAACTTTGGACCAGAGCTACTTGGACTCGTTTATACGTCACTTCCTGATATAGAGCCGGGAAACCGGAAGCCACACGCGCCGTGTGGAGGGTGTTCGTACCACTGTGGAGTTGTTATGGGCCGGAGGAGAGCGCAGGGTAGCGGGTCTCTGGGCCGGGTACTTATCCGGCATCAGACTCAGCGAAACCGCAGCCACCGTCATACTGACTCCTGGGTAAGAAAATCCTTACTATCCGTATCCTTTCCGTCTTGTTCTGGAAGCCTCCACGTTACAAAAGTTAGAGCAGAGTCACGCCTGAAGCGGGTCCCAGCAAGGCGCAGGGCATAGAGGGACTAGCGTGTGATGAGATGGGAATGAAAACGTGTACAGCCTTTCATGTCGGAATACTTGCCTGTGTTTGATCTTTGCTCTAGAAGCCGTGGGCGCTCATGGAAAACTCTAAAGAGAAAATAATTTGTTATCTCCGTACGCAGCCTAAGGTTGGCCCGGGACTCCCTTGCTCCTGCCTCTGCCTGCAGAGTACTGGAATTACAAGCCGTGGCCATCACGCCTGGATGGATCTTTAAACTTTCCGATTTTAATTATCTAGAGAATCGATTTTCTAGAAGTGTTTGGTTCCATCAGAAAAACAAATAAATTCTATCCCAGCTTTCCCTTCTGTTTCCTCCCTGGGGTTGAGCTCACGGAGTTAACATTGTCTCTGGGAGTTTGGGGAGCCTTAAAATGAAATGAAAGCCTGGCGATGGTGGCGCACGTCTTTAATCCCAGCACTCGGGAGGCAGAGGCAAGTGGATCTCTGTGAGTTTGAGACCAGCCTGGTCTACAAGAGCTTGTTCCAGGATAGGCTACAAAGAAACACTGTCTCGAAAAACCACACACACACACACACACACAGAGATTACTTTAATCGCAGCACTCAGGAGGCAGAGATAGGCAGATCTCGATGAGTTTTAAGGCCAGTCTGGTCTACATAATGAGTTGAAGGCCCACCATGGCTACTGTCTTTTTTATAAAAAAATGAATGAAGTGGTTGATTTTTGTTTATTGTTCTAGTTGTGACTTTTATTCTCCAGAATATTTGAAAAAAATTGGAGTTTTCATTAAGATCTTGTGCTGGATTTGTCCCCGGTGCTAATTTGACCGCATGTCTTTCACACTCTCCCACTTTTCAAACAATCAGTCTTAGGAATACACACGGGCTTCTCTTTATTCAAGTGTGAACATTGATTAGTGGTCATTTAACTGACCTCGTGGTGACTTCTTATTGTAGTACTCTTTGGGGAGTTGTGGGGTGGTTGAATCTAAATGTTAAAAAGAAAGATTCTAATTTGTATCCTGATGTTTATTAATTCTAAGCTTTTGATTTTAATTTCTTTTTTTTAACTGTTTGCACCTGTATTTAAGCATTTACCAGGATGGTATTTTATCTGGGTTGTATGAGAAAATCAACTTTATCGTGTGCACCTAGATCTTTTTAATGGTTATCCCAGCCAATCTAGTCTTCCAGCCCTTGGGGGTTTGGGGGTCAGGAGACTAAGGGGAAGTGGGGAGTAGATCTCTACACAATTCAGGATGGCACTTAGACCTGTGGCCTCTATCTCCCACTCGTGTGATAACAGCGTGCACCACGATGCTCAGTTTAAAATATCCCTTCTCATAGTCCCTATGGAAACTTTTTGCGACTGACTGGCAGGATTCAAGTTCTACCTCTCTACTGTAGGCAAATATTTTACCTACTTAAACCTCAGCTTTCTAAATAGTAAAATTCACTTCCAAAGAGTCAGAGATAAAATTGAATGATGTCAGGGAAATGCCCTTGCTGAGGTAAGGAAGTGTTCGTTTAAATATTTGATCTGGGGTTTTGCATTGCTGGATGGCAACGTCACTGACAGCAAAGGACAAGTGTCCTTCTGAGGTGTGGCCCAGCCTACCTAGTGTTCGTTATTCGTAGTGTACATTCTAGAAGAGGCAAAGCACCCCAGGACACAAACCAGTACCGGGAAAGTTTAGAGCTCTTCAATGCCAAGAGAGAGGAGAGCTGCTTCAGTCTGTGCCGTGTTTAATTTGTAGCTGCACACGAGTGAACTCAACGATGGCTATGACTGGGGCCGGCTCAATCTCCAGTCGGTGACGGAACAGAGCTCCCTCGACGACTTCCTCGCCACTGCAGAGCTCGCAGGGACTGAGTTTGTGGCTGGTAAGTGGCTCATCAGCTGGTGCCTGCGACACTGGTCACTGCCGTCCGTCTGCTCCCGTCATGTGAACAGGCTTTCCTGGTCACTGCTGTCTTCTCCCGTCATATGAACAGGCTTTCCTGGTCACTGCCGTCTTGCTCCCGTCATGTGAACAGGCTTTCCTGGTCACTGCTGTCTTCTCCCGTCATGTGAACAGGCTTTCCTGGTCACTGCCGTCTGCTCCGTCATGTGAACAGGCTTTCCTTAATCCAAAGGCTGGGTGGGAAAGTTCCACGCGTGAAAGGCAGAGTCCGCACTGGTTTTTAAATTCAGCTCTAAAGAACACTTCAGATGTCAGGTGTGGTGGCGCATGCCTTAAACCCCAGAACTCTGGAGGCAGAGGCAGGTAGATCTCTATGAATTCCAGGCCAACCAAGGTTATGTCATAAGACTGTCTCAGAAACAGAGCAGAAGCCCTTCAGATTGTACATCGTCATATCAAGTGCAAAACATCCTTGCTGCTGTCAGGCACCTTGTACATACTCCCTGCTGTGTGTGTGTGTGTGTGTGTGTGTGTGTGTGTGTGTGTGTTCATGTTCTAAGTACTTAGAAGAGTAACTGATAAATAGTATTCTAAGTTATTTCTCTTACTGTTATGAATGGCAGGCTGCTTAGCAAGTCATTCATTTGTTCAAAATGCCTTTATTTAGCACCAGCTACTCCCAAACATTGACCTGGCTACTCAGAATAGTGTTAAAAGATAAATTTATTTCTTTAAAATGTTCTTTTATATGTTTTGAAAGAAGTCTATAGAAAACAATGGGCCATAAAAGATGGAGCTCATGATAGCTTCTATCTGACAGAAGATTGATAAGTAGGTACTAGGACAGGAGATAGCCATTCACAGTAGTACACACTTGTAATCCCAGCACTTGGGTGAGCTAATGCAGGATTTCCCTAAGTTTGAGGCCAGCCTGGGTTACAAATAGTAAACTCCCAGCTTGGGCTACATAGCAAAACCCTATTTTCAAACAAAAATCAAAGCAGGTAGTGAGAGCATCCAGACAAGTTGTGAAACAGCAGTCAATCTGCTTTGTTCAGAAATTGTTAGGGGTTTGGTGTTGCTGGTCAGGGACACGCGGTAATGAGCACAGACACCAGGGGGTGTGCAAGGGCCAGATTCCAGGGAGGATAGAAGTTTCACCACGTGCCTTTCACCCCAGAATGCAGAAGAATGTCACTGAGTTTGAAGCTAGCCTGGTCTACATACTGAGTTCCAGATTATCCAGGGCTGTGTTGTGAGACCTTGTCTTTAAAGGGGAGGGGTGGTGAAGGGTTCCTTTATAGGTGTTTTAAGTAGTAACATGGTTGCAGAGGTAATTTTCTATTGTGTTTTGTTGGTGGGGGTGGGCAGGGTTTGTTTTGATTTGGGGTTTTTTGTATTGGGGGGGACGGTAGTCATGTTCCTACCTCCTAACTTCATACAGTTGTGGTCTACAATGTGTCCTAATCTTCACATGCAGTGTGTAGGTGGTGGCTTTCAGGCTGACCGACAGATACATCACTACACGTGGTTCTTTTGTGTGTGGTAAGGTAGTCTACTCTCTTGGTAGGTTTCATGTGGACAATACACTGTTCCTTGGTGAGGTCGCCATGCTGGCCATGAGCTGTCTAGAGCTCCCCCTGCCTCATTCATTCACACTCTGATGATCTTCTTCCTGTTTCTTCCCCATAACACCATCCACTCCTGCTTCTACATCTCCACCTTTTCAGTTGTACATCTTGTGAGCTCTTTGTTGCTCTTTGCCTGGCTTATTTCCATTGGTGTAATGCTCATCCACAGTAGTACACATGGTGAGATCTTCTGTCTTGTTAGGGCTGAGAAGTCCTCTTTTGTACATGTGTACAGTTTGTTCCTCAGTACAATCAATTGTCCCTCAAAACCTGTAGAGACAGTTACAGCATACTTACCCCACCCCAACCCCATTACACAGGTTCTTAATTCCCTTATATAAAATGTCATAGCATTGTATAGAACCTCTACATAGTCTCCTGTGTGGAGTGTGCATGTGTGTGGAGGGGAGAGGTGTCTGGATGTTTTACTGCATGTCTATCTGCACCAGATCTGTGCGTGGCCGTCTCAGCCCTTATTTATTTCTTTTACTTATTTTTTTTAAATAAAGATACGGTTCTCACTATAGTACAAACCAGCCTTGAGCTTGCTGTGTAACCCAGTCTTATCCCAAGCTTGTGATCCTCCTGTCTCACCATCCTAAGTGCTGGGATTATAAGCATGTGCCACCACCTTGGCCCTATATTCAATTTTTTGAGGAACCTTTTTTTCTGTTTTCCATAATTGTTGTACAAGACTTGAGTGTTCTAAAAGTTGACTGGTGGTTTTAAGGAAGAAAGATGAATTCGGAGACATATCTTAGTCAAATAAAGAAGCGAGTCAGAACTGGAGGAAGGAGTGCGGACAGGAATGTTGGGTGCAAGAATGAGCCAGGCCTGCTGGACAAAGCTGGCAAAGAGCAAGGAGCTGAGTAAACTCCTGGGCTTTCCCTGTCACAGTTCCCTCACCCTTGGCCGTGGATGACATCACAAAGACTGTTAACAGATGTTGGTGAGGCTGTGGAGAAACTGGAACTCATCCATCGTTTGCAGATAGTGCAGCTCCTTAAAGTTATGTTGGCAGTTTCTCAAAAGGTGAAATGAAATTGCCATGTGATCCAGCAGTTTCCCTATTGGATATATACCCAAGATAACCAAAATCATGTCTACATGAATACTTGGACATGGATATTCTAGGTTATATCATTTGCCATTAAAAAGCAAAATGAAAGCACCCTGATCTCCATTAGCTAATGATTGGATGAACAAGATGTGATACATATATACAGTGGAGTATTATTTGACCATGAATAGGAGGGAAGTTCTGATGTGGACTGTACCACTCAGGACCTTTTAAAACATTCTGAACTGGGGATATGATTCAGTGGTAGAAAAATTGCCAAGCATGTGCAAAGTCCTGAGTTCAGTGATCAGCACCAGAAAGACTAAAAACATAGGATCCTACTGATATGAAAAGTCCAGAATAGGCATATTTACAAAGACAGAATAGAGAATGGGAAGTACCTGCTAATAGACAAACATTTCTTTTTGAGATTTCTGTTTAAATGTGGATTACCTCCATAAAGCTGAATTTTTTTTTTAGTTTTTTTTTTTGTTGTTGTTGTTTTTGTTTTTTTTTTTTTTTTTTTTTTTTTTCGAGACAGGATTTCTCTGTGGCTTTGGAGCCTGTCCTGGAACTAGCTCTGTAGACCAGGCTGGTCTCGAACTCCCAGAGATCAGCCTGCCTCTGCCTCCCGAGTGCTGGGATTAAAGGCGTGCGCCACCATCGCCTGGCTTATAAAGCTGAATTTTTAAAAGGCTCTTAGTACCTTTTGCCAGACCATTTTATTGTAGTTTTTTAGGTGAGTGGGCGAGAAAGAATGAGAATGAAAGAATCATGGATTATGTTATATGGGTTGAAAAACAGCACACACTTTTAATCCCAGTAAGGAAAGTGGATCTCTGAGATGGACCAGATTGTCTTCATAGTGAGTCCAGGACAGCCAGTGCTACACAGTGAGACCCTGTCCTTCTGAAAAGAAGATTGTTGGGTTTGCAGGATGAGTGAGGAGCTGGAAGTGTACGTCGTGAACCAGCATGCCGCTTCTCCACGAGTGCTCTGAGGGGTTCTTCTCTGTGAACTAGCATGCTGCTTCTCCCCAAATGCTCTGAGGTGTTCTTCTCCTGTTACTAGGCAGCAATTACCCAAAGGCCTTGTTCATAAACACACTCCTGGCTCTTCCTCTGGAACCTCTGATTCAGCAAGTCAGGTCTAGACCAAAGAATTTCCATTTGTAACAAAGGCATAGAAAGTGTTGCAGCTGACTGGGAAAGTGTGGGAGCTGAAGTGCTCTATCAGCAGGGAGACCGCTGCTCTGGTGTGGACAGGCTGAACTGTTGAGCAGCAGCTGAACAGATTAACTCCAGGTGTTACCATGAAGGATCTCCAAAGCCTATTGTCAGACGAAAAGACTAGGTTGTAGGGCAGTATGTTTAGTGTGGGCCCATTCACAATACCTGAGCAGGCTGCAGATGTGGATGAAGCACTCCTGTCACCCTCACACTGTGTGTTAGGTCCCCAGGACCCACATGTAGAAGGAGAAACCCTCCTCCATCAAGCTGTCTTCTGACCTCTACGCGTACCATACTCCCCACCCCCATAAATAAAAGTGTAAGGCGTATGTGAATTTTAGAAAAAGTGACTCAGAAGACTACATGTTTAATTCAAGGGATTGAATTCTAGGACTTGGAGTGGCAGAGAGAAGGTTGGAGGTGGGTCAGAGGGAAGGTTTACAGGGAGAGCTTCCTTTGCAATTGTGTGGTTAAAAGTAAAACAGGTGACTAAGGGGCAGGACGGGTTTTTAGACTGGAGGAAGGTGAGACTAAAATGAGGTTGGAAACATCTGGAAAGGTCAGTTCCTGCCAGGGAAGGAGCACAGTTTCCTCTGGGGTGGGACAAAGGGATTAAAGGTGGGACATCTAGGGACGTGTGGAGCCACGGTACGCATCTCTCAGCTTCCATTGTCTCTTTGTGAGGCTGATGACAAGGCTGTCCTCAGGAAAGGGAAGTTCAGAACAGTTGCCACTTAGGGACTGGGGCAGGTTAACCAAGAGCTAGAACGAGTTCCTCCTTCCATAAGAAGGCTGGGGTCTCAGCCTAACCATTGCCGTGCCAGGTCACCATTTTATGGTGCCATTTCCTGTAGCAGTACACATCTCGTAACACATAGAAACAAAAGCAGGTAGGTAGAGTTTAGGGTACAGTGGAGTAAGGAACCAGCAGTGGTTAAGGATGGACAGTACGTAATTACAGTTAATCACTGAAAAAATTACCTTTCAATGATACGCAGTAGGCTGGGAGAAAGGCAGGAATCAAGGGGCTAAATAGGGGTGCAGTGGGCAGTCACCATTAGACGGAGAAGCTAACACCATAGAAGCAGCAGGTATGAGGAGTGGTTGATACTGAGAGTCTAGTGGGTTAGCGGTAGTATAGGCTACAGGACTGCAGGATCTTATGAATTGTGATGGTTTGAGAGGGGTAGCAGGCTGCAGTCCTTGCTCAAGTGAAGAGCATTGTTGTTGAAGATGTTAGCTTTGAAATAGAGACTTCGCTTGCCACTTCAGGAGGAAGCGTGGCTGCCTTCTCGGGTTCTCTTCTCATGTAGTCCAGGTGTTGGCTGAGCGGTGAGCAGCCTACATGTTAGAGCCCTAGAGCATACATCTCTCTATTACTAGTTCACACGAGATCGCCTGCTTTGTTGTTTTTTGTTTTTAATGTGATATAGTCATTAATGGTGACCATTAATATGTATCTTGTATAAATTACAGCCATAGTAGTTTGCTTGTTCTAATGCAATATCTTTTGCTAAATCTTTGCCTCTACTCCTCTTAGCTTAAAACTATTCTGCATAGGTAAAAGGAGGAAACTTACACTGAATCTTTATAACCCTTTCTCATTGTTGCTGTTGCTATTTCCATGAAGTCCGTTCACCATATAGACTCATAGCACCCAAAGAAGTCAGCTTTTGGGGAGTTTTAGTGAGGTAGTAAAGATCTCTTTTTCTTGTAAAGTTATCTGTGTATTAATTTAGAGATTAACCTAAGAAAGCTTAAGTTCTGTTTTAGGGAGTGGTTAGTATTCAAGTATCAAAATGATCAGCATTCAGTATTTTAAATTACCTTTTTTGGATTTTGAGTCAGAATCTCATGTATCCCAGACTAGCCTCAAACTCAGTTTGAATTCCTGAACTGGTCCTCCTGCCCCCACTCACAAGTGCTGGGATCGCAGGTGTGTACCACTCCTCCCCGTCATCCACTAGGCAGGCACTGCAGCAACTGAGGGGCATCCTCAGCCTCTGAACTGCATCTTGACTAATAGCGCTTTTCTTTTCTGTGAACAGAGAAGCTTAATATCAAGTTTGTGCTCCCTGAGGCTAGAACTGGACTGCTGTCTTTTGAGGAGAGCCAGAGAATTAAGAAACTCCATGAAGAAAACAGACAGTTCTTGTGTATACCGAGGAGGTAAGTTGAACAAGAATTTAGATTATTAGAAGACATAGGACGGGCTAGGTGGTGGTGGCGCATGCCTTTCATCCTAGCACTTGGGAGGCAGAGACCAGCAGCTCTCCTAGTTCGAGGCCAGCCTGATCTACAGAGTGAGTTCCAGGACAGCGAGAGCTACAGAGAGAAACCCTGTCTCAACACCCCCGTCCCCTGAAAAAAGTTGACATAGATTGGGGCTGCAGAGATGGCTCAGTGGTCAAGAGCTGACTGTTCTTCTAAAGGACCAGACTCAATTCCCAGCACCCACATGGCAGCCCATAGCTTTCTGTAATTCCAGTTCTGGGGCATGTGATACCCTCTTCTAGCCTCCTCACGCACGGCACCAGGCACACACACGGCGCACAGACATACATGCAGGCAAAAACAGTCATACAATAAAATGATAACTTATTTTTTTAAAAAAAAAAAAGACATAACCACTGAATATATTCTTAGTTCATAATTTTCCTGCTTCCTTCTTAACTGCCATTTATATCCAAATTCTCTTTTTATTTTGGTATTATATATAAAATCCTTTCTGTGATTGTTCCAGACCAAATTGGGACAGAAAAACTAGCCCAGAAGAACTGAAGCAGGCAGAGAGAGATAACTTCCTAAAATGGAGACGCCAGCTTGTCCGGTGAGTATTGGACTCTGAAGATTTGTCTGGAAGCCCTGGGTTTGGGCGTTTTCGCTTGCATTGCCATTTGCCTCCTGAAATTGATTCTTTTAAAAGGGAAATCCTGGGGCTGGTGAGATAGCTCCGCAGGTAGAAGCTCTGCCAGGCTTGATGGTCTGTGTTCAGGTCTCAGGACCCACAGGGTGGAAGGACAGAACCAGCTCCCGCATGTCTGTTGACCTCTAAGCATGCACACAAAGTAAATAAATAAAATGCATTTGGGGGGGGGGGGGGGCGGTAGTGTCTATTCCAAGTGGATTTTGGTGTGTGAATAGACAGCATTGCAGGGTGTAGGGCTGTGCACAAAGGTTCTTAGTGGTTATTCTGCTCCATTCCTAGTCTTTTCTTATTATGTGTTTGTGTTTGCCTGAGCGTGTGTACGCACCATGTGCATATATTGCCAGCAGAGGTCTGAAGAGGGCATCCGATCCCCTGGAACTGGCAGCTGTGAGCTGCCATGCGCATGTTCTGCAGGGGCAGCTGGTGCTCTTAACTCGGGTCCTCTGAGCATTCTTCTGTGAGAGTTGTGGGAGAGAACCTTCTGCGGTATAAGGATATAATTTGAATTTGGTGGAATTCTTGTATTGACTCAATAATAAATACATTAAAATAATTGGACAGAGCCTGGTGTAGGCCTGCAATTCCAAGGCCTTCCTAGGTTACAAAAAAAGTAAAAGGAGGGCTGGGATGTGGCTGAATGATAAGAGCACTTGGTTGTCATGTGCAAACCTTAAGTCTAATCCCCAGTATCCTAAACAACATAATAATTTGCAGTATTTGTATATGTGTCTTTTTAATGTAATGAATTTGAGTGTTTATAATTCATTAAAACTATTATGATCAGATAGAGATGTGACCTTCTCATTCTAAAGCCAGGCTAGAAGAGGAACAAAAGTTGATATTGACTCCCTTTGAACGAAATTTGGACTTCTGGCGCCAGCTCTGGAGGGTCATTGAGAGAAGGTGAGTAATGTTTTCCGTGTTTAATGGAGACATTGCAGTGATGTGACTGACTGCAGTGTTGACATGTGCTCCCGGCTCTGGATCCAGCAGGAGCGAGATTAAGTTACACAATGAGCTGTTGAAAACTATGAAAACCAGACAGTGGCCCTGGCTAAACTATAAACAATCACAAAACTAAACCAAAAGCCTAAATCTGGGAAAGAGAAGTGTTTATAGGCTGGGGTGGAGCTAAGAGAAGGAAAGAGAACATAATCAGAATGCATTATATGCATGGATGGAATTTTCAGAGAAATTCATTTTAAAACATTAAAACCTGGAGCCTGGAGAGATGGCTCAGTGGTTAAGAGTGCTGACTGCTCTTCCAGAGGATCTAGGTTCAATTCCCAGCATCTATATTGTAGCTCCAGTTCCAGGGGACCCCGATACCCATGGCAAAACAGCAATACATATAGAAAATAAAAATATAAATTTAAAAAATGTAAAAACTGAATATATAGGACTGGAACAATAACTGAGCAGTTAGAAGCTCTTGCTGCTTAAGGTTTGGTTCCTAACACTCATATTAGATCACTCACAACTACTTGTAACTCTAGTTCCAGGAGTCTGTCCTTGATGGGCACCTGCATACACTCACAAAGACACATACACACAGTTTAACACACATACCTTTTTTAAAAAAAACCTGAAAGCTGGGCATGCCTTTAATCTCAGCACTCAAGAGGCAGAGGCAGGCCTAGTCTACAAGAGCTAGTTCCAGAACAGGCTCCAAAGCTACAGAAAAACCCTATCTCGAAAAACCAAACAACAATAACAAAAAACTGAAAATATTATATTTCATTTAAATTGTAGTTGCTTTTTTAGGTCTGAGGAAGTAATTTTAGAATACTTACCTAGGTGTGTAAGATCCTAAGATCATTCTTCAGTGCCAGGGGAGGTGGGTGTGTACAGTTATTAGATGAGTACATTTGACAAGTGTGTAAGAATAGTGATAGTGCTGGCAAGATGGCTCAACACTTAGGAGCACTTAATGGACTTACAGAAGACCTGGGTTCAGTTCCCAGCACCACATGGCAGCTCACAACTGTCTCTCTCTTTTTTTTTTTTTTTTTTTTGGATTTTTCGAGACAGGGTTTCTCCGTAGCTTTTTGATTCCTGTCCTGGAACTAGCTCTTGTAGACCAGGCTGGCCTCGAACTCACAGAGATCCGCCTGCCTCTGCCTCCCGAGTGCTGGGATTAAAGGCGTGCGCCACCACCGCCCGGCTCCCAACTGTCTCTTAACTCCAATTCCTGTGGAGCCAGCACCCTCTCCTGGCCTTCAAGGCAGCACACATAAAATAAAAATAAGTCTTAAAATGAGTAAATAATAAATGTTTGTATGAGGTGAATTCTGGAGCACCTGTGATTACTTCAGCAAATATGCGTTGAGTTCCTCCTGGTAATATGGAAAACAGGCACCGAAAAGCACAGCTTCAGAGGTGTGTGCTGTGAGGGAGACTGCTCGGCCACGCTCCAGGGACACATGGAGGAGAGAAATGCTCCCTCAAGCTCAACACGTGGCACCTAGTGAGAGACCAGGGCAGGATGAGTCTAGAGAGAAGGGAAAAGGCGTGATTTCTCAGGACTGAGGACAACCGAGTGTGGTTTTATTTTTGTTTGGGGACAGGTGTAATCCTGGCTCTCCTGGAACTCATTTTGTAGACCAGGCTAGCCTCAACTTCAGAGATCCGCCTGCCTCTCCCTCCTGAGTGCTGGGATTAAAGTCGTGCACCACCACACCCGACCCAAGTGACTTTTTTAAATTGTTTTGTTGTTGTTGTTGTTCGTTTGTTTTTTGATGAGTTGGGGTGGAAGGAAGACTCATTCCTTTCCACATCCACCAAGGAGAATTCCTGAATTATCATTCTCTATTTCTCCTCTTCTGTTTGGTTAGAAGGATATGTTTTTCTCAAAGAGTTTCTGAATTACTTTCAAGGATTTAGTAAGAGACATTCGAGTTGTGTTTATAAAATATACCTAGGAAGAACAGTCAGAAACAGGTTTATTTAATTAAGACTTAAATTTAACTTGTAAAAAATGTATTTTCTTTTATGATATTGAAAACCTTCAAGAGTTAGGTAGTGATGGTGGCAGAGCTTTGTGAATATTCTTAAAACCATGAGAAGGGGCGAGTGGCGCCTCAGCTTTTTAAAGCCGCTGTACCTCCCAGTGGCAGAGGTTTGCTGCTGGTGGCTGGGTGTGCATAAACTCCTCTTAAGTCTTAGGCTCTGCTGAGCTTGGAGATTCTGTCCCCTTCCCATGGGGAGCTTTGCTGTGCGGAATGGACCTGCGTCCTTCAGAGCTTCCGCAGCAGTTGAGGGTGTGTGTGTTTATTTCCAAAGAGAAGGGGGCACAGCTCTGCAGCGCTGCACTGTTGGCCTTGATAGAAAACACCGTCCACAGGCTTTCCTGTAGTTCAGACTGTCTTTCCTCCTAGTTCATTTTGCTGTTTATCCTGGCTTCTGCTGTTTACGTATGAGGCTTCCTGAAATGACAGGCATTTTTTATCCATTCATATTTAAGAATGAAGTATTACAAAGCTGTTTAGATATAGTTTGCTTAGTGGTGAACCTCTCTGTAGAGAGACTGGGCAGGGATTAGTTATATTTGTTTGGAATACTCTTAAGATCTTTCCTTAGTGCCTGTCAGGGTTTTTTGTTGTATTTTTTTTTACATTTATTACATTGTGCATGTGTGCCACATGCATGTATGGTCAGAGATCAACTTCAAGAAGTTGGTTCTCTACTTCCACCATGTGGGACCTAGAGGACTGAAATTGTGTACTCAGGTTTGATGGCAAACACCTTTACTCATTAAAACCTGTGTGTTTCTTAGAAAAGTTAAAAAATGAAAAATAAAAGGGATGAAAATGAAAACACAGCATACCCAAATCTATGGCAAAAGCCAGTTCTAAGTGCCTACATTAAGGAATTGGGGAAGGAGAACACGTGGTGGCAAATATCTTTAATCCCAGCTCTCCAGAGGTAGAGGCAGCTGGATCTCTTGAGTTCCTGAGTTCAAGACCAGCCTGGTTTGTCAAAGTGAGCTCCAGGTCAACCACAGCTACAACACGAGACCCCTGTCTCAAAAACAAACAAACTGAGTAGGGGTCTAAGACTGTAGCTCTGTTGAAGAGTGCTTGCCTATCGTGTACAGACTCCTGGCTTTGATCCTCAACACTACACAACTGGACTTGGTGTCTTAGGCCAGTGTTCTTTTGCTGTGAGGAGACACCATAACCATGGCAACTCTTGTAAAAGAAAGCATTTAATTGGGGCTTGCTTATAGTTTCATTGGTTTGGTTTATTCTCATCATGGTGGGGAACATAGTGGCACAGAGGCAGCTAGAGAAATAGCTGATAGTTCTACATCTAGACTCACATGCAGCAGGGAGAGACACCAAGATTGGCTTGGGCTTTTGAAAAGCCAAAGCCAACCCCCAGTGACACTTCCTCCAACAAGACCACACCCCAACCCATCTAAAGTGGTGCCACTCCCTGATAACCAAGCATTCAGATCCAGGAGGCCTCTGGGGGCCATTTTTACTCAAGCCACCCTAGCATGGTACTGCCTATAATCTTTGTTATTGTTTTTATTTTTTGGTTTTGTTTTTTCGAGACAGGGTTTTTCCATGTAATGTAGCCTTGGGTGTCTGGAATTCACTTTGTAGGCCATGCTATCCTCAGACTCAACAGAGATCTGGCTGCCTCTGCCTCCCAAGTGCTGAGATTAAAGGTGTGCACCACCACTGCCCTACCTGCCCATAATCTTGGCGCTCAAAAGATAGAAGCAGGAAGGAGAGAAGTAGTTCCCAAAAGGGTCCTTCTCACCTTCATATGTGTTCTGTGGAACACACACGCTTACATAAACCCACATAAAATACATACTTTAAAAATCTTGAATTTTTGCTTACTTGTTTTGAGAGAGGGTCTTTCTATGTAGCAACAGCTGGCCTGGAGCTCAGTGCTGTGGACCAGACTGGACGTGAAGTCACAGAGCTCTTCTGTCTCCGTCTCCCAAGCACTGGGATTAAAGACTTGTGCAACGTGGCTGTGGCACCTTTGAGTCCTACCTCAAAATACAAAAAAAGAAAAAAACAATCAAATAGCTTAAAGATACACTTCATAGAGTTGGGAAAACAAGAACAAACCAAACCCCAAATCAGTAGATGAAAAGAAATAATTAAAGTCAGGGCCAAAATTAATGAAATGAAATGGGGGAAAATCAATGAAATAGAGTTGATTTTTTTCAAAAAAAATGATAAAGATGAACAAGTTCTTTGCCAATTGAAGAAAAGACTCACCAGTAATTAGAGGAAAGGGGGAGCCATGATGACATAACAATGAAATTTAGAGAATTCTTAGACATGCCTTAAAGCATATGCTGCACCAAACTGGGAAAATCTTT